AGCCCCCCCTTCCCCCCCTCCTGTCTCCCTCCCTCTGCATTTCCAAAGACTTGGAGCAAAAGCAGAAAAAAAGTAAAATAAATAAAACCGGCCATGTCCGTTTTTTTGGGGGGGGGCGTGAGCTTCCTTGCGCTGTTATTCCTTCTGCATGGTGGGGGTGGGGCAACGAGGAGGAGGGGGCTCATTCTAGGCCCACAGCCCCTGCCGGTCAACCCCATAAATGGGGGGGCTGGTTTGCCAAGGGGGAGACCAAGGATCCCCTCCCCATGGTTGGGACCCGACCCTGTCCTTGTTCTCGCCTGGTGGAGTCTTAATCCGAGCGGTGGGGCATCAGCCGTGGCCACAGAGAGCAGCAGTGATTCATCATCCTCATCCTCAAACGCTACGTGGGCAACACCTGAGAAATAGTGATGGAAAGTGTGCATGGGCCTGGCTAAAACTGGGGGGGGGGAAGAACCCCTAAGAAAGCAGCCGAAGGCTTGATTTTTGCTGCCGAAGAACAAGCCCTCTAAACCAATGCGATGAAAGTGAAGATCCAAGGAGTTTGTGCTCACAGCGAAGGTTGAACTCTGATGAGAAAAAAACGGTGTTGCACCACTTCTGCAAAGGTCCAAAGATGGCACAAAGTGATTGCAAAGACTTTGATGGAGGGGCCAAGTTAGTGCCCTGGTCCTTGTGCAAAAAAAATGTAAACTTGACAGCCTCCCAAAGCTCGTGGGGAACATCAGGCAGAAGAGGTGTCAGAAAACGGAGGAGGTCAAGATTTTGTGGGATTTCCGGATCCAAACTGAGAAACACTTTGAACACAACACACCAGACCGAGTAGTCATAGAACGAAGAAAGGTCCGGATCCTTGACCTTGTAATTCCCGGGGAGGACGGAGTTGAAAAGAAAGAATTGGAAAAAACTAACTAAATACAGAGACCTGGCCATCGAAACATCTCGCTTGTGGATGAAGCACAACTCAGTGGTCCCCGTCGTCCTTGGGGCTTTGGGGAACCATATCAAGAAATTTCACCCCGTACTATGAGCTGCTGCAGATCTCAGAAATCACACCACCAGAGTTACAAAAAATGGCAATATTAGGAACATTGTACATACTGCAATGTGCTTTTTTTTCGCAGCTAGTTTCTTAAACATGAGACTCCCGTTTCTTCACCCTGTGGGTGCAGTCATCTGCTGTGGGATATAAACGTAATGATCGCAGTATCCTAGCCCTCAGATATACTGCCACTGTGTGTGGAGGTTATATTGAGCTAAGAGCTGCTGATAGATGACGCCTCTTCTTTCACGTCTGTCTGATTCGTAAATTCAGAGCCGTCAGCTTCACAAAAGACCCGCTCTCCAGGGGTTGATATTGCAACCTTCTAACATCTTGCATGTCCCGAGTCTGCTCTTGTGCAAGGCAGGAAACGTTGGCCAGGTGTCAATGGACCACTTCCTCACCCCGTTGCTAAAGCATCTCTGTGTGGGTGTGATCTTTTTCATTGCTTTATGAACTGAGCTAGCTGCTGGGGTGGGCGCAGGAGAAGCCGCGGCTTTTCCTGGCAGAAAGAGGGTCTCTTTCTGTCTTTTAAATAGGGGGGAATGGAGAGAAAACCTGGAAACCTGTCTTCTTGCAAAGTACAGTGTGTGTGTGTGTTGGGGGGGGCTTGGCTCCTCAGCCCCATTCTTTCTGGGAATAAGTTCCTAGTCCTCCGCATGCTGAACAAAATCACAGATTTAAGTCTGGAACGTTGGAATCAGACGACCCCCCCCTTCCGGGCTTCTGTTTGCTTCTTGTCTTCACCCCCCGCCCCTCCCCAGCACCCCACGGCTGCACGGGGTTGGTCTTCCTTGGCCTCACGGCTGATTGCCCATTGAGGGCACGGGGCGAGGGG